GGTACAGACCATCAACTTCGACAATCTCTACTAGTGAGAACGGCTGGGTTTGAGAGGGACCTGCCCTCCCAACGCAACCTACGTCTCACCTCCTGGCACTATAAAAGGCTCCATCCTGTCACTTCAACTTCATATTGTTTCAGACAACGGAACAATGCTCTTCTCCAGACTGAGGGACTGACCACCTCAAAACTTTAAGGGTGATGGACTGATTACATCGTCTTCAAGTATCTTCTGCTTCTATCAACTTTTCTGTACTCGACTGAAGAAGCCTACTGTGTAGGCGAAACGTTTCGAAATAAAGATACCTAACTGTTGCATATGTGTCTTACCTAACAATTATTGTATGGTCTCTTAACGTGACACCCCTGCTTTTCATTGGGGGGACGTTGCATCGTCTGCCAAGTCTTTTGCTTTCGTAGTGAGTGATTTTCGTGTGCAAGTTCGGTACTAGTCCCTCTAGGATTTTCCAGGTGTATATAATCATGTATCTCTCCCGCCTGCGTTCCAGGGAATACAGGTTTAGGAACCTCAAGCGCTCCCAGTAATTGAGGTGTTTTATCTCCGTTATGCACGCCGTGAAGGTTCTCTGTACATTTTCTAGGTCAGCAATTTCACCTGCCTTGAAAGGTGCTGTTAGTGTGCAGCAATATTCCAGCCTAGATAGAACAAGTGACCTGAAGAGTGTCATCATGGGCTTGGCCTCCCTAGTTTTGAAGGTTCTCATTATCCATCCTGTCATTTTTCTAGCAGATGCGATTGATACAATGTTATGGTCCTTGAAGGTGAGATCCTCCGACATGATCACTCCCAGGTCTTTGACGTTGGTGTTTCGCTCTATTTTGTGGCCAGAATTTGTTTTGTACTCTGATGAAGATTTAATTTCCTCGTGTTTACCATATCTGAGTAATTGAAATTTCTCATCGTTGAACTTCATATAGTTTTCTGCAGCCCACTGAAAGATTTGGTTGATGTCCGCCTGGAGCCTTGCAGTGTCTGCAATGGAAGACACTGTCATGCAGATTCGGGTGTCATCTGCAAAGGAAGACACGGTGCTGTGGCTGACATCCTTGTCTATGTTGGATATGAGGATGAGGAACAAGATGGGAGCGAGTACTGTGCCTTGTGGAACAGAGCTTTTCACCATAGCTGCCTCGGACTTTACTCTGTTGACGACTACTCTCTGTGTTCTGTTAATGAGGAAATTATAGATCCATCGACCGACTTTTCCTGTTATTCCTTTAGCACGCATTTTGTGCGCTATTACGTTATGGTCACACTTGTCGAAGGCTTTTGCAAAGTCTGTATATATTACATCTGCATTCTTTTTGTCTTCTAGTGCATTTAGGACCTTGTCGTAGTGATCCAATATAGTTGAGACAGACAGGAGCGACCTGTTCTAAACCCATGTTGCCCTGGGTTGTGTAACTGATGGGTTTCTAGATGGGTGGTGATCTTGCTTCTTAGGACCCTTTCAAAGATTTTTATGATATGGGATGTTAGTGCTATCGGTCTGTAGTTCTTTGCTGTTGCTTTACTGCCCCCTTTGTGGAGTGGGGCTATGTCTGTTGTTTTTAGTAACTGTGGGGCGACCCCCGTGTCCATGCTCCCTCTCCATAGGATGGAAAAGGCTCGTGATAGGGGCTTCTTGCAGTTCTTGATGAACACAGAGTTCCATGAGTCTGGCCCTGGGGCAGAGTGCATGGGCATGTCATTTATCGCCTGTTCGATGTCATTTGGCGTCAGGATAACATCAGATAGGCTTGTGTTAATCAAATTTTGTGGCTCTCTCATAAAAAATTCATTTTGATCTTCGACTCTCAGTCTGGTTAGCGGCTTGCTAAAAACTGAGTCATATTGGGACTTGAGTAGCTCACTCATTTCCTTGCTGTCATCTGTGTAGGACCCATCTTGTTTAAGTAGGGGCCCAATACTGGACGTTGTTCTCGACTTTGATTTGGCATAGAAGAAGAAATACTTTGGGTTTCTTTTGATTTCATTTATGGCTTTTAGTTCTTCCCGCGATTCCTGACTCCTATAAGATTCCTTTAGCTTAAGTTTGATGCTTGCTATTTCTCTGACCAGTGTCTCCCTACGCATTTCAGATATATTGACCTCTTTTAGCCGCTCTGTTATTCTTTTCCGTCGCCTGTAAAGGGAGCGCCTGTCTCTTTCTATTTTACCTCTACTCCTCCTTTTTCTTAGAGTAATAAGCCTTGTGCATACATCGAGTGCCACCAAGTTAATCTGTTCTAGGCATAAGTTGGGGTCTGTGTTGCTTAGTATATCTTCCCAGCTTATATCGGTTAGGACTTGGTTTACTTGGTCCCACTTTATGTTTTTGTTATTGAAGTTGAATTTGGTGAATGCTCCCTCGTTACTAGTCTCATTATGTCGGTCTGGGGCTCCACACACACATATCTGAACCTCAATTATGTTGTGATCTGAGTATATTGTTTTTGATATGGTGACATTTCTTATCAGATCATCATTGTTAGTGAAGATGAGGTCTAGTGTATTCTCCAGTCTAGTAGGCTCTATTATTTGCTGGTTTAAATTGAATTTTGTGCAGAGATTTAAAAGCTCGTGTGAGTGTGAGTTTTCATCAGAGCTGCCTCCTGGTGTTATTACTGCAACAATATTATTTGCTATATTCCTCCATTTTAGGTGCCTTAAGTTGAAATCCCCCAGGAGCAAGATGTTGGGTGCAGGACCTGGAAGATTTCCAGACAGTGGTCAATTTTTAACAGCTGTTCCTGGAATTTTTTGGGATGTTGCATCCGGAGGCTTGTAGACTACCACAATGACTAGGTTTTCGTTCTCGACCTTTACTGCTAAAATTTCCACTACATCATTTGAGGCATTAAGCAGTTTCTGCCCCTAGGAAAACAATGTGACTCTGCAATGTACAGGCCAACCCTACCTTTTGCTGTTCACTCTGTCACAATTGTGTAGGTTTGTAACCTGGGAAGCGTATTTCGTTGTCCAAGTGATCCTTTATGTGTGGTCTCAGTGAAGCCGCGAACATTGCCTTTGCCTCTGCAAGCAGTCCACGGATTGAAAGTGTGTATTGTTGTTTGTTGTTGGCTTTTAGCCCTGTCTATTTGCCAAGAAGAATGTCCTCGGACTGGTGGTATTGTTGGTAATGGGGGTGGGGGGGGGGTTCCGGCATTAGTATTGTATCTGTTGGTTTGGGAGTGAGGCCATCGACTGTGGTTCCACTCAGGAATGATGGATTTGGTGATCGATTTTGCCATTTCTGCCAGGTGTTTTTTTGCCTTCCTGTACACTAAAACCTCTCCTCTTGAGTCGTGTGGCTACCAGGTTTTCCCTTGCCCTGGATGTTTGTATCTTTTTGTCCCCTTTAGATGGTGTGCCTGGCAATTTAAGTTATAGCACAGTCTTTCCTGCACTGAAGAGGTACACAGTTCAGGGTGAAAAAGCTTACAGGAAGGGAGTTTGCATTTTCCTGTTGTCATATGGGCACGGCATTTTCTAGGGTGGTCATAGTTGCACGTCCCGTCTGTTTTTCCAGATTTCCCATGCCTGCAGATACCAAGTGCATAGTATGTGCACAGGCTTGGTTTCCGTTTGCCTTGGGTTTCTGTGACTGTATTCCCTGTTGGTGCATGTTTCCCTGTCTTATTCCTATCCTCCCTAGCACCAACAATGGAGCTCCCACCAGTTGTTTTTGGTAATATATCCTCACTATAGCTAGTGGAGTCCTCTTGTTTGCTATTTCCTGTGGTATTTCTAGTTTGCAATATTGGTTTTATCTTATCTTTGACTACACTTGTTTCCCTACTACGGCTCCTGTCCCCTATGAGGTCATTTATATGTATTCCTTCCTGCGTATAATTCCCGACTACCTGGACAAAATCTCCAGCTTCACCATTACTGTCTCCCAGGACAGCACCTCCAGCTTCACCATTACTGTCTCCCAGGACAGCGCCTCCAGCTTCACCATTACTGTCTCCCAGGACAGCACCTCCAGCTTCACCATTACTGTCTCCCAGGACAGCACTATCAGCCCCACATTTGCTGACTACCAGGACATCACCTCCAGCCTTACAGTTTCTGACTACATGGCCAGTATCAAGGGCAGTACTTTGATTCAATAAATCAAATGCCTTTGTCACATGGCTTTTAATAGCCTGTAATGATGCTTTCATTACTCTAAAATTCATGGGCTTGTCAGCCACATTAACTCCATCAGATCCAGTCATGGTTAGAGAATTATTAATCCCCAATTATACAGCTTAAGTAGGCGCCTTATAAGAGTAATTCTTGCACTTTACTCTTGTATAAATCCTAGCCACACATGTGCTAGCTAATTATCATCCACCACACGATCGATTAAACTTGTGTACCCTATACCCACTTCCTTCAATCAGTCACTTAAATATTAAGTAATTAATTCAATTAATTTTTTCACTGATTGCATCCGGTTCAGGAAGGACCAGCGGGCAGATATGGAAAATTTTCTAGGGTGATTACTTGTACATACCTCAGCATTACATGCATACGAGTAATCTCCTTGGGAGACAACAACTATATTGTTTACCGTAGTCACCCGTGTAGACATGTGAGAAAACTTAACCACCTCTGGTCACTGCAGGTGGCCCCTCGACCCTCACTATCTTATCCATATCTATCCGAGACCAGTATAAATTGGGTAGCACCCTCAAGTACGGCGCTACTAATTAATTGTGGACTGTATAGATTATATTAGTTTAACTGAATGAGGGGGGGGTAGGTTACACATGGATATATCCATCAAGGAAAACACTTGTACATAATCTCACCACTTACCAGATATTCTCTGGTGGTCACTTGATGTAGCTGGATCACTCATAACCTATCACAACATACCTAACTGGCCAGTATCAGTCTGCTATAACTAGAAGGGTTACTTAACTGTGGGTGATTGATACTCCTTATTTCCTCCATTCACCATCTCATTTCGATGTCCTGCTACACCGACACGGTTCTTATTCCAGGAGGACGAGGTATCCGTCGGTTTGTCCCGGTTTAGAAGTCGTGACTCCATAAAGCCTTCACTATCCTCGGGACAGGAACAACGAGGTAAACATGTGCTCACACACTCTGGGAATGGCAGTTAATATCGCTTCAATGATTCCTTAACTTAGTGTTATTATCACTGATTACAGTACGGTTTACAAGACGGTTTAATGTCTCATAATTATTATACACATTGGAGGCCACTCCATTAAGATTTGAGACCGATGAGTGATGATTAAATCACGGGTAATTTTCCCCGGGACACAGTCCATGGCGACGCGCCAATCATCCCCGGTCCTACCATTATTCACTCATTTTACCACCTTATTTACAGTGGTGCCGTCAATCACGTTCCCTCACTCTTCACCAGGGACAGTCATGACACTTCCTATTATGAAATGAGTCCTATATTAATCCTTAGGCCGCCGTGAACGCCAATTTCCTGGTTCCATGCTTTCCCAGCCTCCTCACTACATTCAAAACACTCCTGCCTCCCCCATGCCCCGAGTCGACCTCTACCCCCACACATCCGCGCATGCGCAAAGGGAACTCTTGGTTCTGTCCTATTGTCAAATACATTTTTGACTCATATCGACACATTAAACACCTGTTAGACGCTATAGCTTCGGAAAATTAAAATATTTTCCACAACTTCCTCTCCAACACTGAAGGAGCGAAGAACTGCCCTTTGGTCGTATCGCTGCTTCATGGCCCTCTGACTAGCCTTGAGGTTGTCTGCTGCCATCTGTCTCACCTGGTCCAATGGTTTCATGAAAAAGAGAACATATTCCGGCGGGGAAGCCCCATTTTCACTGCCCAGCCAATGTTCCTTGAGAATAGTCAGTGGCCCCCCTCACTGGATGACCATAGACGAGCTTGAAATGCCTGAAACTGAGAGATACTTGGGTGCTTTCCCACTTGGCAAACAAGAGAAAAGGGATCCCCTCATCCCAATCGCTAGTGTTATTCTTACAATAAGCTCTCATCATTGTCTTAAGAGTTTGATGAAATCTCTCTACTACTCCCTGAGACTGAGGGTGATAGGCAGTTGAAAATTTAGGCTGTACATCTAACCCCTTTAACACATTCCTGAATAATTTTGAGGTAAAGTTAGACCCTTGATCTGTTTGTACCTCCTGAGGAAAGCCAACATGGGAAAAGAACTTCATAAAAACCCCTTTAAAGACCACTCGCTGTTATCTGTGTAGAGGGGGATGTTCTGGATACCTGGTAGTGGAGCAAATTATTGTTAGTAAATTTTTTCCCATTCTGGTCCTTGGGAGGGGAAACCAACAACATCCACTAACCAGCTTGCTGAAGGGTTCACCTGGTGCTGAAATAGCCTGAAGGGGAACAGGTTTAATGCTTTGATTAGGTTTCCCTATAATTTGGCAGACATGACAGGTCTTTATATAATCTCCTACTGTCTCCCACAGCCGAGGCCAGAGAAGTGCCTGGAAACCCTGGATACTGTTTTAGCAATACTAGGTGTCCACCTAGAGGTGTGTCTGCGCTAAGTTTAAGAACATGTGTCTATAAGGCTCAGGCACCACACCTGGTGACAAAAAACTTGGCTCTTCTTCTGCTGGTACTGCAACCGAAGGTGCCTTCTTCATTAGTTACCTTTCCTGAAATTGAAGCATTTACTTAAACGTAAAGATTCCTCCTCAGTCACAGCTGAGGCTCTGATCGGGTTAAGAGTGTCCCTCACACCCCTGTGCAGCAATTAACTGCATATAGAGGCCCAATCTCCCTCACAAATACTTCCCCGATCCCGCATGATTAGGCTCAACTCGGGTTGTGGTATCCTTTCTTCAGTTGACTGCAGTTCAACATCAAGAAAATAAAGTTTCCAAACTCAAGTCCTCACCATCCTCTTAGAAATATGAGGATTACTCTTGGTAGCCTGATCGCGAGACATGCTTCTTATGATGGCACCATCCCGGGAAAAGGTCTGGCAGGTCTTTCCCCAGCCTTCTTCTCCCAGTCTTTGGGGTCCCGGCTCCCCACATTTCTATGGTTCCTCACTGTCTAACAGACCCATAACCCTTGTTCCCCATAAGAGGTTAACCCCTTCGAAGGGAATTTTTATCTGAAATACCTACGGGGAGATAGCCAACTTGGTATGCAGATTCTAAACCCCTAATTTGTGTACAGGTGTTCTTATGGGGGAAACCTGTTAATACCCTTCAATAATATATCTACTCCATATAGGTATCCTTAGACACTGGCAGCACTCCAGCACGTAGCAAGGAGTAGGTGCTTCATCCATCTCTCAAGGACAGTATTTCTCAAACCCCACCCCAACCCTTATGCAAGGCCCACTGTGGACTTACTAGAAAATACCTGCATCCTGGGGTCTAGACCCAAAGGTTTCCTCCTCCTTTCTTTGAAGACCTAATACAGGCCAACTGGGTGTGTTTTGCAGTTAGGGTCCTCTGGGGTGGTTCCTCCCTTTTCCCGATCTTGGGCCGTCTTGACCAGCAAAACTTTTGTGTATGTCCAGTTTTGTTACAGTAGTAACAGGTAAAGCTCTTAACGGTATTTTTACCATTTGGTGTAGGACTGGTACTGTTTACTTGAGGACCTGAAACATTATCTGATGGTCTAGGTAAACTTTGAGCTCCAGCTGACTTACCTTTTCCTTCTGTTTTAGAGGGTGCTTCAGTCTTTGTTTGTCCCTGAAAATTCTTGTCCCACTTACCTTTATGACCATAGGACTTTGAATAAGGCTTAGAACAAGTGAGGAAATTTTCAGAAGGAGCATGACTGTTTTTACTTATCAGCTTCCTGCGAGCCAAGAATCTGTCACCCAAATCCAGTGCTTCTGAAAGATCATCCGAGTTTTTGTCCTCCAGATATTCTCTGAGGTCAACAGGGATTGTATTGTACAATTCCTCATGAACCATCAGATCTACTAATTTGTCATAGTCTTTATTAACTCCTTTAGAACAAACCCATTTCTTAAAAAGGAACAGTTTCTCATTCCCAAACTCTGTTAAGGCCTGCCCATCCCAAATTTTTTTATTTCTGAACTTTTGTCTATATTTCTCAGGTATCATTTGGTAGGCAAGCAATACTTCCTCTTTAATTTTATCATAATCAGAAAAATTTTTCCCCTCCAGAGTCTCTACTTTCTGGAATCCTTTACCCACAAGTTGTGTGTGAACTAGGGTAGCCCACTTCTGTTTGGGCCATCCTTGCTCCAAAGCAGTCTTCTCAAAAAAAGAAAAATATCTATCTGGGTCACTCTCTGTAAACTTAGGGACAAAATTTGCAGCTTTAGTTATGTTATAGTACTGCTCAGGCTCTGGTTCTGAACCTCCTAACCTTTGACGCTCTTCCTCCTTCGCTTTCATTAATTTCATTTCAGCCTCTAGCACCGCTAGCCTAAGTCTCATCCTCTCCATTTTCGTATCACCTGGACTAGGTGATCCCTCATTTTCACTGTTACCAGGCATGTTTACTGACGAATTATTACCTTCCTCCCTGAAGCCTAAAAAGTTTAAAGACTTCTTCTGACATAGTTTTTATCTTTAAACACTTGCTTCCCTCTTACAGTATCAGTGGACAAAGTTTTCCCACAGGCACATAAAATAACACAAGTTGAATGTAAACTATGCACATAACACTTACCATAACCACAACAAAAATGTGTTACTTAACCTTTCTCCCACCTTAGGAGAAAAACAACCTGGAAACTAATTATGAAAACAACACTTCCACTGACACCACCTTGGTAAATCTTCTACCAGAAACATGCAACTGTTATTACTCCATACCAGTACACATAGTTCAAAGAATGTTTTGAGTTATTTTAGCAGTCAAATAACTCTCCCGGTCAAGCTCCCATGTTATGCTGTTGTCCCTTATTACTTTGATAGTAAGGTTCTCACTATATGTTCTAGTGGGGGGGGGGGGGTGTAGCTTTTTACTTAATGGCCTTATCTGTCTAGGGTAATACTTACATCATGGCTAATCATCCTCAGTGTCTCTGATATCCTTTCACCAGCCCTCTTCACAGGTTATTTAAACTACTACTATAAAAATATAACTGTATTCTAAATAGATATGTACAGAATATACAATTACAGCACTCACATATTCAAAACATAAGCCTGCACACCCCTTAGCTGTTCTAGGATAGTCCACATGGTGCATCTCAACAATTTGCCCTTCTCTCTTCTTGACTATACTCTGGGCTAACCAGTGTTTTGACACACTTTAGTCACCCTGGGTATGGTGGCCACAACTTATGTTATACAACTCGCCCCTAGAGCACACATAATGCCCCCCAAAAAATAAAAGCAGGACCCAGAGGTCCTGCCAGCTTGAAGTCCACCAACAGAGATAAAAAAGAGAGAGGGAGGAGCCTAGCTAATCTCCTCCCACACCCACCAAAAAACAAAAGACTGTTGCCAAGCACAATTCTCTAGTTACTACAATTCTGCCACACCTTATTTTACTATTACAAAAAGAAATACAACTTTATAAACTACTTATTTAAATTGTGTGGGTGTGTCTAGAGTATAACCTATTATATTGAGAAAAACAGGCTTGACTCAGCTGCCTTGCAGCCATGAGAGTGATCTGCCCTTATGACATTTAGAGCTGAGTCCCCATCAATTCAATATAATTAGGTATTCCAGAGTAACTGTTACAGTTACATAAATACATGTTAGGTCCTATAGCCCCATAACACAGTTCCAGTAGTGATAGTGAAGAGGAATATTCTCCAGTAAAGCATCAGTATATATGACGGTATATGCGCTCTGGTAGTGTGCCATATGCTATTCCAAGGGGAAGGAGTACATCTCGGAGTACATCCCGTGGCTGTACAACAGGAACAGACAGTGAAAATGATGATGATAGTGTTGCAATTGGGATGGAAAATGTGCATGGTGGTGGTAGTGGTCTCAGTAGTAGTAACCAGTTACCAGTAACCAGTGTACCAGTAGATGACTCACTACCAACCGTCTCTGCGTGAATCACTGTCTGTATTCAAATTGTTGCTGACCACAGCAGTATTCAAAGACCCCCTCACATATGGGTACTGTGGGCGGTCAGTCTTACGAGAGTGAGCAAGGAGGCAGGTCACGGCTGTTAGGGCGCTTCACACATTATCCGTAATATATGTACTTCCAGCCTACGTGAGTATTTCTTTACCCTATCCACGTGTTCGAACCCCACATGATAAATGGTGGCAGCGGTGGGATCGTGGATTAAGCTTTTTTAA